TTGGCTAGTGTGAGTTGCTTGACATCCCAAACACAGTATGTTTCGCTTTACTTGACCTAGGCTTCTTTCAAAAAGGCAGTGATTGAAAACTTGTGCAAACTTACCTCAAATTTAAGAGGTTATTAGATCACAGAACAGAGTACAAAAAAATTAGCTCTAGTTTTTCATAAGCACACAGGCAAACTCACTCAGTAAAACAAATTCTTAATGTCAATTTTTTAGGAAGATTAGAAGATTTTTTAATTCAGACTTCTGTGTGTACTTTCTGAATTGCTCCAAACTTGGTAAAAGGCAATTCTTCAGTGTTCTTTATCATTTCGTAAGATTGTTTTTCCTGCTGAACAAAAAAAATGTATCATACCTAAAAGGGGACAATAGCAGTACTCACCAATGAGGACGATTTGTTATACACAAGTTAAAAGCTAAATGAATCAATGTATCACATAAGTATCTATATGATCTTTTTAAAAAAAAATAAAAACCCACATCCATTACATTTCAATAAACCATGTGATTTGAAAATTAGAGCATAACTACAATGTTCAACTACTTCAAACAATTTTTGGCGGTTCCAGTTAACCGATTCCACTAAACCAACCAAAAAAGAAAATCGATATCTCAATGATTTTGCAGTAGAATATCTGCACATACAAATAATTCCTATGACTTATTCTATTCATTTGCCAAATAGTGATTATTCTCTCTCTCTCTCTCTCTCTGTATGAAATGATTATTGCACAATAATAAGATGAAATAAATTAACTAAAAGAGTCATATGAAAGTAGGTAGGTAGGTCTCTCTCTAATGGATTATTAAACTTTAATTATGAAAGTAGTTTATGACTTGTGATATGCAAAAGTCAATACCATTTAAATGCAATAGTTATTATAGTTTGTTCACTGTGTTGGGGAAATGAATTCATGAAAGCAATTATTACATTGTAGTAGGTATATTATTTATATGTAACATAGTAGTACACTGGCAATGATATTTTACTGAATCGGTGTTTCATACTTCATACATGGAATAATCGATTCTCTTGATGAAACGTAATCAATATATATATATATATATATATATATGTACACATGATACCATTATCTGCATAAGTTTACTTTGATAGAATGACTAATGTGTGTATGACCTAAATCAGTGAAATTATTATTTCATGCATACAGAGATTGATGATATTCAATATCTATCTATCTATCATATATGTATATATATATAAATCGATAAATGGATGACAATATTATCATTTGGTTGAGAGAAATATACATCATTTTGAAATTAAACTGAGACGTAGTTTTGTTTTAAATGATCAATTTTTAAAAAAAAATATAATTGAACATAAGGCTTTTGAAATTTCAACTGATTTTTAACTTATTTATGTATGTACTGAAGTGTTAAATCTGATGGAAACACTGAAGCTGTGACTGAATGTCATTTATTGATAATAAATATATTAAAAATTATATGGACTCAAAGTTTGGTTGTGAATTCGTAGGTTGGCTTATCAGTAGTATAGACTATACATTTCAAAGTGACAGAGTACTAATTCTTACTTACTTACTTACTTACTTACTTACTTATGCACTTACTTACTTACTGACTATCTAACTAACTAAATAACTTACTTACTTACTTAAGCCTGTTACTCCTAATGGAGCAAAGGCTGTCAGCCTATTTACAGTCTATGTATGCACTTAGTGTTAATGAAGTCTCTAATTTTAGTGCAAATACTTCTTATTCACTATAGTTGTAAATTTCATTCGATATAAATTATCCATTGTCACTTAATCTATTTTGGGGCAGAGTTTTGGAGGTTTGTGTTTTTACACATTTGAAAGTATCAATCAATCATTGTTAGATCACCATTAGAAGAAATCTGGAAGCACTGGACGGCCGTTTCGTCATGGTATGGGACTTATCAGAGGCAGTGCGCATCCACGACTCCTGCTCCTCGCAGGATTCGAACCCGGGACCTGTGGTATTGAGCTGTTTGTACACAATCAACTTTACTAATTACTATTCTTTATTTTAAGCATCATGTATAAATCTACATTTTTGTTTAAAAAAACTAAATGAACATTAATGTTCAATAGTAAAATATTCTAGAACTCCTTAGCAGTACATGTCAACAAGTGATTGAATCTTAAACTTTGAAGTTGTGCATCATAGTGAAATGATTCACACTGCCTTCTTCTTGTCTTATTTTGGAATGATCAAATTTTGCCAGTCTAGTGACCAATCAAATCTAATGGTCTATTTAAAATTATTTGAAATCACATCGTATTTTGAATTGAATTAGCCTCATATAATTTTTTCTATTCGTTTAAACTGATCAACTTGTTGAATAAGTCAAAATATTTCTCTAATCTGAATTATTGTTGATATTAGGTGTGTTTTATTGAACCTTCAGTAATATTAGCATAGAGTTGGTGCCATTTTTATTTAGTATATAAATCAAATTAATAAGTCGTCATTGTAGAGTAATTATTTTTATCTCTTAATAATTGGTTTGGACAGAAATATGCATGCAAATGTGAAAAAGACAATTTTTATTGACATAGAAACCCTTTGAAATGAATGCAAATTTTTTTTAAAAAAATGCTTTCTTAAAGCAACATTAATTTAGTTCTTAATAATGGACATATGAAAGGCAACATCTAATTCGTTTTTTTGAGGCAACCATGTATTGATATGTTTACACGATATATATTTTTTAAAATCTAAAATCTCAAACAATTAAAAAATCAATAAAGACATCAATTCAAAAAGTAACGGACCAATCTGATTGGTCAATTCAATCAGTCATGTAAATGTAGAAGAGCTGTAAGAATCGGGACTTTTGGAAATCAATTCTCACTAGTTATCACTAGTTATATTGATTACGGTTGAGAAAGAAATACAGGAATTTAAGCGTTTATACCTTTAGGCTTCAACATTCTATCAATGATAATTTCGCATGTACTGGTAAATTAGTGATTCAATTGTCGGGATTGTACAATCATAAGTAGTAGAAATTGAAATACAAGTCAAAAAAAAGGGCGATGCTAGCTGGCATGAACTGATGTGAATTAGGAGTTTGAACAAAGGGAAAGAGGTGATGATTTATTGAAAATATAGAGACATCGAAATCTGAAAGGATTACAGTGGATTTTTCTCTTGTATTGAATTCCCTCGGAGGGTTCAATCCAGGAGATTAATACCCTTTTGGTGAGAGCTTAACCTTTGGGACACTGAGATGAAATGCAATAGTTAACATATATATATCGTTTTAGTTAATTCACACTATTACGCAACCATCTTCCATAGTTATTGGCGAGAAACTACTGTCTCACATTCAGTATGACTTCACTCTACTTTCTCATCAGTATTGTGATCTTTTCACTGAGAGATCACAACAACTGCAATTGTCGAATTCATTTTATTATGCTCTTCAAGTGATTTTAACCAATATCATTATTTTAGTAAGTTACCATATAGGATTCTTGATCAAATTACAAGTTACCTTACAACTTTACACCTATGTTACCTTGTCCAGTGCATTATAATTATGAAGAATTTATACTGTACACATGTCTGCATTTTGAGTTTGAAATCCATCCACTTACCTGACATTACAACATTCCACTGTATTTATTACCTGAATTTCATACATTTGAAAAGAAATTAGAAATATTTCGAGAAGTTTGACTGCAGTATATAACTGGTCGTATGAGAACATTCGGTTAATTGACTTCAACTTATGGATAGCAAGAAAGCAAACAAACACATTCTTTGTTTGAGTTCAGTGAACAAAATAAAACAGTCATTTAGTAATACATCAGAATTTCATTTTTGCAAATTTTGGGGTATATTAGTTTTTTGAAACCATGAATCGATCAATGTTAGACCACTATTAGAAACCTGGGAGCACTGGACGGCCGTTTCGTCCTGGTATGGGACTCTTCAGCAGTGCGCATCCACGATCGATTCATGGTTTCAAAAATGTGTAACTTAACAATCTTCACAACTCCTGTAATGAAAATTACCTGTGCTCACTAGTGACTAGCTTTGTGAGGAATCTTCTCCGAGTTCTAGTGGGGAGACGTGACCAGTGAAGTTCAACCTGTTCGGGTGTAGACAGTAACTACCGAAGACTGTATGAGGTTGAGCAACTCGTGAATTGAAGTTAGACATTAACACCGTTAGTTACGGGCTCAGTGGTCTAACGGTTAGGGCGTTCGCGCACATTACCGAATGTCCTGGGTTCGAATACTGCGGGGTGCAGGAGTCGTGGATGCGCACTGCTAAAGAGTCCCATACCAGGACGAAACGGCCGTCCAGTGCTTCCAGGTTTCTAATGGTGATCTAACATTGATCGATTCATGGATTCAAAAATGTGTAACTTAACAATCTTCACAACCCCATAATGCATATATTAGTTTTATCAAGTTGAAAACATTTACAATTTGTTACAATATACTTGTTGCTTCTGGGTTTCGATTTCGACAAGTATTCCTGCTAGTGTTTGAAAGTCACAATTTCCAACTATTATATCAATTCATGTTTTATCTGATAACTGGTAACAAACATATTTTACTAAGGATTGAACTTGATGCATTAAGTGGCCTGATATGGTATGATGATTGAATGACAGACTGTAAACCTGTGGACAACCACTGTTGAATGTCCAGGTGCATTGTCATAATGCGATTGTTATTCACTGAGATTTCATAATTTTAATCATGATAGTGTACACACCTCAGTGGAAAATCCATGGTGAACAGTACTATGGATGTTAGTTATGTATTCAATAGGGCATGGATGATTTTATATATTCAATGATTTTAACGACTTAAATCAATTCACATGAGATTTCAGAGTTGTTTTCCTGAAAGCAAACAACTGTTCGACCATCTTAACCAAATCAATAATTTATCATGGTCATCTTTATTGAATTTTCCTAATTCTAACTTCTGTAATCTAATTATTTTTTGAATTAATTAATCCAGACCTGTGGAACTCATACACCTACAAAGTCAATTCTTCGATCAAGTTCTCGTGTTAATTCATTAGAGAGTAAAACTTTTAGTTCCGATAATGTAACTAGTATGTCTCTAGTGAATCTTCGATCTTCACCTCCAGATGTCAGGCGTAGATTTGAGTCGACCGATCGATCATCCCATTTAAATGGTAGTGACCAATCCGATAGTGAAAATGATCAACATTTAAATCGTGGTCATCGAAGTGTTTTATTTCTTGATCAAGTTGCAGCACCCGATCGATATCGTACATCAAGAGTCATCGATTTCGATTCAGAACAAAGTAATTATTCCACGTTTAGTCATAGATCACCGCCATTTTCTCGAACTATCAGTCCATCGTCATCATCATCGTTGGCATCTTATCCAGCTAATTACGAACCATCACCATTGATAAGGAAGAAGAATTTTCGATGATCCAGGTATTGAGTTGGTCAGTTGTAGTCCACTTTCATGTTCATCAGGGAACAATCAACAACAACAAACACCAGCATTCATCATCATCATCATAATTTTAAAATGCATAAATTTAAACCTTCCATTAAACGTCTATCGTATTTGAATGCATTTAGTAAAAAACGTAAAGATTTCAAAAGAGGTAATCTTACATTGATATTAGATCAAGAATTGGATAGTATTTGTGATAACACTAGAAGTAAACATACATCAATCACAATGTTAATGACCATGATTCTGATGATGAAGAGGATGAAGAGGATGATGATGATGATGATGCCTGTGATAACAATGAACATAGAGAAAGTTTTAAACAATTCAATGAACAAAATGTCTATGAAGAGTTACCACGTTTAGATACATTGAAACTATCATCAAATAATTCATATTCAAATGGTGTACGAGATGTATTAACTACATCGAATTATAATGATGATTACTTTCATAAAAATATTCAACAAAATAAATTTAATCATACCGGAAATAATGTCAATGACAGAAAAGTCACCACTGTCAAGGTAATTAATTCATTTACTCTATGTAAATATACTATTTTATATTTTTATAGTAGTATAATTTTTATTATTAAATGTTGTCTTTGGTAGTAAACAAACGACTACTGCATTAAATATATTTTGTCTAAAGTTTTGAGAAATCAAAGCTAAATTTTAACAGTTAGCAAACATCGCTATTAAAACTTTCATAAACAAAGTTCCAGGTACTTCGCCAATGGCTGTACTCTGAAGAGGGCGGCCAAACCGAAACATGACACAAATTCATTAAGTCACTGACAACTGGATAGAGTTATGTTGGTAAGTGTAGACTACCTGGTTGAGGTCTGTGAGATGATAGTAATCGATGGTTAGAGACATTTAATGACATGGCTCAAAACCGTTCTCAATGGCTTCTCTCAAATCCTAATCTTCTGGATTCTTAAACATCTCTAGTTTTGATTTTCTTAACTTTTCTCACTGAATCATACTTCGTGAATAATATCTTCTAATCCTAACCTCTCCGATTACTTCTAATACCTTTTGCTAACTCTTCTACTATTGGATTTGAATTGACAATTACATCTCTGTGCTAATGTTGTGGTATGGCAACATGAACTGATGTACTTACGTACGAAGGTCTACGTTGCAACTGACGGACTGAAGAGATTCCAAATACAAATGATTTAACGCCTGAGAAATAATGGGATCAGCTGGAAATTTGCTTTCAACTATTTCGGTTTTCCAGATACCAACAAGTCTGGAACAGTAATTCAACCATTGAGATATCATTTGATTCTAAGTGCTTTATAGGCTTATATCATCTAGTGAAAATATGTTCATAGTACAGAATCTTCGGAAGGATTGCTTAGTTTTATAGTTTGCAGTGCTGATTAGCCTTTGTTTAGCATTCATTAAGAGCCAGAAGGTGATGTATGGATGTTTTTTTTCTGCTGTTGAAATTCTCTTCAGTGCATAATGTAAAGCGAGGAGGAATGAGGGTCAAGGCATTCGTTTATGAAAAGTAGTCAGCTAGCTAGCTTATTAAAAGTTAAACATACCATATGTTGATGAATATGAGTAAATACATTATTCTTGAGAAAAAAACTTTCCACAGTTTCATTTGTATTGATAAACTAGTTTCCTACATACTTTGTAAAATGAAACAACGTAAAGTTTCTTTTGTAAATAGTGACAAAATACAGATTGGTGTTATTCAAGTAATTGAATAAAAAAATTAATGAGATCACTAATCAATCTAAATTAGATGACTGTTTAAAACTTAGAAGCACTGAATAACTGTTTTGTTTTAATGTAGGTCTTCCTTAGGAGCAGATATTTACAATCTTTCTGAATTACAGTTATATAGATCAGTGTTTTTACACGTTGAAATCATTAACCAACAAGCATTATTAGGCCACCGTTAGAAACCTCGAAGCACTGGATGGCCGTTTCATCCTGGTACAGGACTCAACAGTAATGCTCATCCACAACACTTGCACCTTGCAGGATTCGAACCTAGCACCTGCGGTCTTGTTAACAAGGAGTAAACACCTGTCTAATGCTCCAAGGTTTTCAATGCTTATCTAATGATGTCAGTAGCGTAACCAATTGAAAATAAGTTCAAAAATCTTTTTTTTAGGTATGATGATATGCTGTTTCAAAGATTCGCTTTTTTTGTCAGACATTCTCGAAAAATATATGAGAATGATTCCCGGTCAGTTTTAACAGTGTACGATGTTTGACTATTGAGCTATTCACTATATAAATAAATTTCCGAATTATCACAGTGTAAACTATGGATCTGCTAATAGATGATCATTGAAATCATGAATCAGTCGATTGTTAGTCCATCATTAGGAACCTGAAAGCACTGGACAACCATTTCGTCCTGGTATGGAACTCGTCAGCAGTTCTCACGGACGACGATGATTACCAGTAAGACTCGTCTAACTAATCAATTTGGTGGTATTTATTACTTCAGATGACAGGATATGAAAGTGATTTATGATTTTTCATGAGTATTTTCACTCCATTGTTTTGTAGTTTTACAAAGGTAGAATATAATATTGATCGCTAAACCTCATTCAGTTCTACAATATTTTTTACTAGATATGACCTACAGTACATACTGTTTTTTTTTCATTTTTTCATTTAACTAAACTCTTCTTCAACTGTGTAGATTGATCGTCATCGATCGGATGTTCAACAATCGGACTTTGTATATCATCCGAATAATAATCCATTTAAAATTCATTCAAAGTATACCAATGATTTGAAAAACAATTCGATTTCATATCATCCCACCAATGCTGAACATACTCCAACTGGCAGTACAGAAACATTGATTGATTCAACAAGAAAATTGACATCGACTGCCAGTATCAATTATTTGGATGAACAAAACACCAACAAACTGCCGAGTACAGGTTATGTAAAAACAACGGTACAATGTACAAATTCTTATCCTAATCAAATAATTGATACAAATAAAACTAGTTGGAAAACAGTGTCAATTGATCAATCAACAAAATACAATGCTCAAGATATGAATATTAACAATAGTAATAATAATATTAATAATAGTATTAACAATGAGTATAAGGTGAATCCGCGAAATCCTCGAATTATTTATATATCTAAATCGAATCCAGTTAGTAATGAGAATCCAACTAAATTATCAACTAATCAGAATAAGATTGTCTCTGCTTCCCAATTCACTCATTCTAGTACAGTAGTGGATGGTGGAGGCTATTCACCGTATGGCTATGAATCTGATCAAACAAACATGAATCAATTCAAACATACTAATCAGACTGTTCGTAAAACAAATATAGTTACTATTGAATATGAAAATATTAATAATGATAATAATAATAATAATCAATCGATCAATAAACCATAATGCATACTATTGTTAAAGCCCTTTGTTTTTGTCACTTCTGAATACTTACTCCACATACTGTTCATTTGTTAACACAAGTTAACCAATGTTATTTTAAACAACTTATAATCTAGTATATATATATATATCATATCATATCAGAATTTCTTGTATTTTAAGTATACTTTGTGCATGATGTAACTTACAGATAAAGACATTATTTTATAAATATTTCTAAGAAAAAAAAACAGTTGTATGCATTCTGTGTGTATTCATGTTCAATAATGATCAAGTGTGAATAGATGTTTAAATTGAATAATGATTGGTCAATTATTTTTGTTTTGCATATGCTAATTGATTTAAATTCATGAGGCATTGAGCCAATCACAATCAACTAGTCTGTTTACTGCTTCCTAGAATCAATGGAAATTTATTGTCCAATCAGAAATCAACTACAATAATATAAAATAAACAAAACAGGAATCATGTCGATTTGTTTATTCAAAATGTTTTTATCAATTTAATTTTATATATATATATTGAATAATTTTGATGAGTTTAATTTTGGACTTTGAATAATTTACATGAACTAGAGAAAATAGATATTTGAAATGAAAAATAAACAAATAACTTGTAATATAATAGATATTTTAATATTTCAAACCCCTTATTCAAAAATCTTGTTTAATGATATTTAATTGACAGAGGAAAAAAGCACTAGTACACACAGACAGGAAATGCTCCAATAGGTTAACAATCAGTACTAAGTGTAATTAGATGTCAATTTTCATTACTGTTCAGTAATTCCTCTTTCAGTCATATTTTAGTGCAAGTTACTTTTTTAAAATGTACTATTTTCAATAATATATTTACTTACCACCAGCGTTCATTTTTTTGTCGCGCTCATTTATTCCATTTGATAGATATACATTTTTTGAAATAAGAAAAAACAAATTAACGATTGAACTTTCAATGTATTCTCATTGGTTTTTTTAAAAAAAAAACTTTTAAATAAAATTAAAACAATTCACACTTTTTCATTACGGGGTTGTGAAGAGTGTTTAGTTACACATTTTTGAAACCATGAATCGATCAATGTTAGACTAGCACCATTAGAAACCTGGAAGCACTGGACAGCTGTTTCGTCCTGATATTGGGCTCATCAGCAATGCGCATCGATGATTTTAACACTGTTAGATACCGGCTCAGGGGTTAGGCGTTCGCACACAATACCGAAAGTCCTGGGTTCAAATCCTGTTGGGTGCAGGAGTCGTGGATGCGCAATGTCGCCGATGAATCCCATACCACGGACGAAACGGCCGTGTAGGTGCTTGTAGGTTTCTAATGGTAGTCTAACATTGATCGATTCATGGTTTAAAAAATGTGTAATTGACACTTTGTTGATATAACAAAAAGTTATAAGTATAGCATGGAATGTATGAACAAACGACTACTTGTCAGCATTTAGAAGTTAGGAGTTTGACTGGTCCTGAACAATCATTCCATTAGAATAGTCTAAAAACAGAAGTCATAACATCTTCTAGTTCTTAGGCTGAATGTAACTGTCTGATTATAAGAGATAAACTTATAAGTAAAACTGATTTCCACCTGTTGATCGCATTTCATTGGTGTCATAATCTAGTCTCGTTCTGATCTCTAACCAGATCCTAACTAGTTTTCATTTGATTTTATCACACACTCAAAAGTATCATGATCTGTTGAGTAGGTTGATTTAGTGTTTACACCCACTGACTTGACAATCTCTTATGTAGCCGTGTATTGCGAATCTACGAAGATTAACATGAAACGAGAAACGTCTTATTTTTCTGTCCGGACGCTTCCATATTTTATGTAAGCAACAAAACAGAAATATTTCAATATTTAATTTTCTGCGCTAAATAAATAAAATAAATGATTTGATGTTCAGAAAAGTAGAGTGAATTCATTAACAATAGTCGTAATTTTAAGGTTCTTACGACAAATACTCAGTAGATACGTTTGGTTGTATATAATACGGTGTTGTTTATATTGATTTATCACGGCATTAATCCCATAGCAGTCGCTTTATATTTATAATCACAGTCTCAAGTGTTACTAGTTTATCTATTTTTCTTGAAAAGTAAGTATATTATTACACCTTATCCGGTTTAGGCAGTAACTACCAAAGACAGTGGGTATGTTTACGGAAAAATTGTCCGATTGATCAAAGTTAGACATTAACATCGTTGGATACCGGCTCAGTAGTCTAGAGGTTAAACGTTCGCGCACAAAACCGAAGGTCCTAGGTTCGATTCCCGAAAGCAGGGGTCGTCGTAGAGTTTCATACTAGGTTAGAACGGCTGTGCAGTACTTCCTGGTGGTTTAATAATGATTAATTCATGATTCCAATGTAAGTATTCTGATGATGATAATAATAGAGATACAGGTGATTAAGCACAAGTAGGGTGTGCTTTATTTAATGTAGATTTCATGCTTGGAACAATGACCTTGAGAAGTAATGCTTCTTAATGAGTTTTGTCATGACTTGGATGCTTTATTAAAATTGCTGTTCGTAATTTTGGCTTCATTGTTCAGCAATGTCTGACAAATGATCGATTATCAGTGTAAGGCTGTTAACTTATTTTGAAGATTTTGAGGAATAATAATAATTGTATGACGATCAGTTTCGCATTCACACACATAATCCAATGATGTAAGTTACGAAAAGAACGTATCAGTATATGATGTAGGAAAAAAAGAAGACTGCGAATAGATATTTTCTGCATGTTACGAATGTTTATTTACGTAATTGCACATGAAGATAAAGAAACTAATAACTGACATCGTTTTCCTATGCATAATTCTGATCTAAAATTGAAACTTACTACTGTATAATATAAATAGTAGTTTATTTTTTTGCGTGTATAAAGTTGAAATCCAGCATTTATGCTATTTTGGGGCACAGTTTTGGAGGTTTGCGTTTTTACACATTTGGAATCATTAATCAATCATCATTGTTAGACTACCATTAGAAATCTGGAAGCACTGGACGGCCGTATCATCCTACTATGGGACTCCTCAGCAGTGCGCATCCACGACTCCTGCTCCTCGCAGGATTCGAACCCGGGACCTTTGGCATTGTAGGCGAACGCCTTACCATCGGACCACTGGGCCGGCATCCAACGGTGTTAATGTCCAACTCTGATTGATCTAGGGATGGTCTAACAATGATGATTGATTAATGATTTCAAATGTGTAAAAACGCAAACCTCCAAAACTGTGCCCCAATTTATGCTATTGTCTGGTATATTACATCCCGAAAATAATTTTGCTGATTGTTTGATTACTTTTTGGTTTGTGAATATGAGTTTTTTTCCTACAAGCCAAATTTCCTAATTGAGTTATCTTTTATTATTACTACTAATAAAAGACTTTATGTTCTCATTAAACAATGGGTATTTTAGTGTGTTGACTTGTTATCCTATTACTGAAATTGTTTTAAATGTATTTATATCTGAGTGTTATTTGTTTAAATCAGTATTCTTTGATGCTTACAAACAAAACTTCTCGGTAAGATTGTCTTTTTTAGTAGGTACAACTAAAAGCGAAAGGGGTTGTGGTATCCTATTAGCTAAAATAAAGTTTATTAAAACTTACGTTATCTCATTGGTTCGATGCAGAGTTCTTCAACAACAAATGTAGGTCATTATTTAACATTAATGTGAGAAAATCAATAAACTGGTAGCTCTGTTGTAGTAGTCAAAAGATGTGGAATTCGTAAGAAGAACACAGGATTCGAGGGCTGATAAAGTCACAGACAAACAATCCCAAGTTTTCTTCAAACAACAATCATATATTGAAAATGTAAATTGGTCACGGAAAAACTATCATTAGAAACCTGGAAGCACTGCATGGCCGTTTCGTCCTAGTATGAGGCTCTTCAGCAGTGAGCATCCACGGAACCCACACAAGGGCATCAAACCCAGGATCTGTGGAATCGCGTGAGAATGCTCAACTCTTGATTAGTGAGCCGACAGCAAAGGTGATAATATCTAACTTCGACCAATCCACGGCTTTGCGCAACCTTATCCATTGCGTTCTGGAGGTAACTACGTACACCCAACAAAGTTGAATTCCACTGGTAATGGCTTCTCACTAGAACTCCAAGGAGTTCCTCAGGAAGTTAGTTACTAGTGATGAGTCCCATAATAGGATGAAACTGCCGTCCAGTACTTCCAGGTTCCTAACGGTGGTCTTACAATTGATCAATTCATGATTCCCATGAAACTCAACAATCTTCACAACTATATAACAACAACAATCACATACATACTTTGAAGTAAAAGAAGTAGTAGTGACAACATAATAACAGTGATATTCTGTAGATCTATAGGAGAAAAGTTATAGAGTTTAAATTATGGAAACAAGTTTTCCGAATCCATAGACGAGTTAAATTCTTTGTAGGTTTCAGTCATCATTTATTCGAAAAAATTGATTGCCTTTCAACCAAAAGCAACTTAGTTTAGTTTGGAAACTAAAAAATCTCAGAGTTGCGGAGTAATGAACTACCGACTTTAATAAACATATTTGTTCGAAAGCACTACTGGTAAAAGGAACTCATATTACGAAAATTTATCAAATTTGAATAGTGACAGCATCCTACTAATTGGAATCGATCAATAAATATATTCAACTTCTCTCAGCCTACTAAACATGTTCACTGAAATAGAACTATCTGATTATTGAGTTCATTAACAATGTGCCTGCTTTGGCCCTCGCCGAGTGGGTTTGAGTTAGACGTGGAACACACTAGCAATGATAGTTTTGGGTATCTGATTATTGTTCGGGAAAATGCTTTGGATAAACATAAATAAACTAGCCGCTTCATGCTATTAGATAGGACTTTATTAGGTTTCTGTATCTTTAAACACTAGAACTCAATTTCCATCAACAGATTTATTTGTAAGCATAGAACAATCTTCATGTGGTCGGAATCAAGCTATAGCTATCCTTAAGACTCAATTGTTCTTTGTCACCTCTCCCGACCGTAGCTGCCACCTTAGCGTGGTGGTCGATGTTGCTTATCGTAATGACTCAACCGACCTATATTGGCTGGAACATATGTTCCTGTGGGTTCCACCATGCCAGGCAGGTCGATTGGAGAACGGTAAGACTAAAAGCAGCTACTCAAGATCTGAGGACGAAGTCGCACTACTGACTGTAGAGAGGTGTGATGGCAACAAGGTGTTTCTCTTGGACAGCCAGCATCTGCAGCAATGCTGCCTTCTCACAAGGAAGTAAAGGGTGAGGAGAGGTCGACCCTAAAGATGTCACACTTCACCTTACTTCACCGATTTCCGTCTCCGGCAGTAAAGCCTTTTAAACAAGAGAGGAGCTAACACTTCCAAAACATCCCCTAAAAAGGTCATGTGTGACTGGCCTTAATCATTTGTCCCTTTGACTCTGATCACGCTACTAGGTCACCAAGACTAACACTAATCCAACTCCATTTTCAGGTCCCTAAAGAAGCTCCCTCCCACAGTGTGGGCATCCGGGAAGTTACATCCGCCCTCATACCCGTAACAACACACGAGACAAAATTGGTCACAATCAAATCCTTCCTACACCTCTAACATCTCACTTATTTCCACGACCGATCCTTCTGTCATTCCTTTTCTGCCTCGTGCAGCTGACGTTTCAGGTTCATGAAACTTGATTCCTGGTCTCCATTAACCCGCTCTAAACTACATACTGGAGCTTTCATTGTTCGAAATTTCTGCCAGGGAAACAGGCTTCATTAGCTAGGACTCTGGAATCCCGTACAATCGTATGTTGCGTCTCCGAAACGCAAATACAAGATCCGAGTGAAATCATCAATCCTCTTCGTCGCATCTATACACGCTCCCACTGACTGCAGTTCAGACGAGGTAAAAGATGAATTTTACAGAAACCTCTCTAAACGTCTTCAAGAATTTAGGCACTCTGACATGGCTGGTGACTTTACCGCCCAAGTAGGTAGACTAGGTGAAAAGGAAAGACACCTGGGTGGATCTTGTGGGGTTGTGGCTCAGAGAACAGACAATGACGACCGTTTGTTGCAACTATGCTCACATAACCAACTATTTCTAGCAAACACTAACTTTAGGCATAAGGAAAAGCATCTCTTGACCTGGCGACTCCCGAACTCGTCTCAACGCTGGACACAACTAGATCATATCGTTATAAGCCATCGGTGGACAGGCTCTATTGAAAACTGCCTCTCCTTCTGGAGCACTTGTTTAGACTTAGACCATGTTCTAGAAGGAGCGCATATTTGTTTGCATGTTACTGGACGTACGAAAAATATCGCAAGGAAACCTCTTAAGGCTCTACTTAATAATAATAAAGCTAAGAGTATATTTCAGGAACTAGAAAAACAGGCAGCCATGTAGTAAATCATGCCCACCATGAGGCAGCTTGGAATGATATCAAAAGAGCTGTGGAAACAGCAGCGCACCGCGTCTGGCTCTGAAAGGCGGAGTCAGCTTAGGCGCATGCTGAGAAAAAGCCTACGCAATGATCGCAAACAGTGGTGGCTAGCTAAATCAAGGGAGATGGAAAAGGTGACAGGGATAGACGACAGTAGACAACTATTCAGACACAACAAGTAAACCGGTATTAGGAATGTAATTGAGACTATCTCAGAAAAGGATGGTTTTATTATTCATTTTCAATTGGCCTTCAGCCACACTTAGGTTACCCACGATCTTCAGTCAAGCTGAATGGCGAATCGACGTCAGTCCTCCGACTCTTTATGAAGTTGAAAAGGCTATAAGAAATCGAAAGTGAGTGCTGTTAGGTTGACCCCTCAAATTTTTGAACATGGTGGTTCAGTTTTAGCAGCTAGATAAACTGAAATCTAAGGTGGAATCTGGACGTTATCTCATCGAACTGATCTGAATCAACAATTGCCCCAGTCTATAAAAAAGGTCAAATGTCAACTTGCGGCAATCACAGAGGAATCAGTTTAGCTAATATAGTGTCTAAATTGTTGGCCTCGATAATACTTAGACAAGTAACTAACATTATATACAGACTTCACTACAGAATAAGACTAATGTGAAACACACATTTGCCGTACAACAGGCTAATTAATTCTACAATAAACGAATATGAATAGTTTTAATACAAAATCGCCAAAGTGTATAGAAATAATACAAAGTTAATACAAGATGTTTTATATAAATTAATATGCATAGTTAAGCATAATACAAGCACTGTACAAGATGAGTGAGTGTAAAATTAACTAGTCTTACAATCACAAGAGAACAGAACAATTGTATTCAGAGTCTTCAAATAAACCTTGGTCTTAAGAAAGAAATTTCAATAGCAATACCACGCACACACATACACACACAACACACACACTAGAAAGAGAATAAAATTTCAAAAAGATAAATACATTGAAGTTGACAAATAAAATGATGAACAATATACACTGATGTCATTGTGCTGCAACTTATATTTTGGACAAAAGAGAATGGAAAAAAAGCTATTGCTTTAAAAGAGTGTGTGACCTGATTGTTGATTAATGTTTATGATGTGTAAAAATGCCAACACAGAATTGATTGTGAAAGAATGAGACGTGAGATGAACACAATTTTCCCGCCATGGTGAACATTAATCAAATATGAATTTGGAGCATTTGAAGGAAAAAAATACGAGTAAACAATCAGCTTTCAGTGTAAGCTTAAAAGTATATTACGATTAAAATAAATTAAAAAAAATCAATTACCTGATTATATATATATATTTAAAAAAAAAATGAAATTTAATGAGTAGAATTTAGTGTGACGAGTGCCTTTATTCGATTGCATTATATATAACTTTGTCCATATAAAAAAAATTAGGGCATTTATAGATAAAATACAAGATTCATTCATTCATTCACTGATGATAGGAGTTAGAAAATTACCATGACTTTCCAGTTATCCGAATGCAGGAAAACGAAGTAACAAAGCATTTTACTTACTTCAATAATTTACTATTGAATATTGGTTGTGGAAAGCTTTGACAGAGATGGATACTTACTTGCCTAACAATCAAGAGTCTACGTACTTATTAAGAGAATGCATTCCGTTTGTATGACACATGGTTAATTTCTTGCTGTCTATGGGATTGATTACTAAAGCGATATTATTTCAGGAGGAACTAGTCAATATAAGTGACTTAACTGAATTCCCCCATACATAGCTGATTCATATTACATATCTCGAGTCAGTTACTACAATTAAACTGATGACATAAACACACGTAGCATTACATCCATGTTTCTCTCAGCAACTTGAACAATCATCATCGATTTTGTACTCTTATAAGTATTGACTGAGAAAGAAACACTTGAAATAGCATAGGAATTACTCATTTTTTAGTTTTACCTAATGAACTACTACTTCCTATCCGTTTTCTATTACACAATTCAGACTACATTTTCTCTAGACTTTTCTTAAAAATGATTTCCGACAAAAAATTGTTTCAATCTGAAATGGATTTATTTTAACGATTGCGCAGTAAATATGAAATGAATGTAAACAATGGAAAAAACAGAAATGGCAATTTTTATGAAAACCTGAATGATTTAACAAAAAAATGACTAGTTTACACACTAATATAAAACAAGACTAGTTTTGATTTTCAAGTTGATCAAGTTATGAGATAGAATTACTGATCAACTAACTAGTAATGGACTATGCAAATAAATGTTAGGAAATTAAAACTATTTGTGTAAAATATCCAATTAAAATAGTATGAATGAATTACTTATAAAATAACAAGTAATTAGTCGAGAATGAATGGCAAGTAATCGTCCACATAGTAATTAGTGCGTGATTTCTCATTTCTGACAATTGTAGTAGCCAATGTGTGACAGATACAAGCATTGTTGGATACCATTAAAATGAGGTTGAGTAGAATAAACTGTCAATTTTTATGTTAATTCATAGGATAAAAATTACCACAGTATACTAAAGAAAACTTGGATTGTAATTGATTTGACGCTAAGATTCAAATGGATGAACTTCATCACTTAGACGTCCACAGATAACTATAGTTAGAGTTATATAGACCAAAGTAGATTAAGGATGGTTTGAATATGTGACCCATTGAAGGTCTGTCGTTCAAACTAATATTAAGTTACAGCTCTACTATATTCTTGTCAAAGAAAAGAAACATTTGAGTATTCAGCAGTTTACGAATCCTATTTATCACAAGGATGATGAACACAGGAAGATTACGGTAGATGTTATACGAAACTAAGCTTTTCATATGTTAGTGTTGAAACTGAATTTCCCCAACTTAGTATTCAGACAATTTGTTGGTGACTATGAAGCTTAACCTAACAGATCTACATACAGTCAAGATTTAATAAAACTACAGCCTGTGAATGTTTTTTTAGCTGATTGTATTATTGTTATTTGTATTTCGTTTTTCTGTCGATGAACACCTCAATATCAGTCCATATATACTAGTTTTTATGAAGTTTCCATAAACCCACATTGATTAACACTTAGATTGGAGTTTACGGGTTTGTTTGAGACATAATAAAAAAAGGTCGGTAGCGAAATAACTACCACGCGAAATACAATGCATATATATATAAATATAAGCGACACGGGGCGTCGAGATTATATTAGAGATTGGCACTCCTCTCTCTACCGAACCTCAACCGATCGATCATATTGCTGTTGTCCATTATTGCCTTTTTCGTTTGTGGTTTACATGAGTTGAACTGTCGCTATCACTATTTGCATTGCCGTTGTTAGAATGAGATCTTTTGCTTTTGATTTGATTTTCAGGTTTAGAAGATGCTTCACTGTGGGAACTAAAATTTACAATAAATAAACAAGGTAATGAGAGAAACGTTTTTGCGCACAGCATGATCTACAATCTGTTAGTCAATAATTATTTACTACAAATCATTATATTTAAACGTGATAAGACAATAACGTGAAATTGATTTGGTTGATAGGATGGTCAGTCAGTCAGTCAGATGCAACGTAGAACTTCGTACGTAAGTACATCAGTTCATGTTGACATACCACATCAGCACAGAGATATAATTGTCAATTCAAATCCAATAGTAGTAGAGGTAGTAAGGGAATTAGAAGTAATCGGAGAGGTTAGGGTTAGAAGATACTATTCAACAAGTATGATTCAGTGAGAAAAGTTTAGAGAGTCGAAACTAGAGGTGTTGAAGAATCCAGAAGATTAGGGTTTGAGAGAACACAAAGAATAAATGCACCGGCGCCATTGCGGACGATTTTGAGCCATGTCATTCAAGGCCTCTAACCATCAATTATTATCATCTCGCGGACCCCAACCAGGTAGTCGACAATTACCGACATGGCTCAGTCCACTAGTCAATGACTTCATGGATTTCTGCCATGTTTTGGTCTGATGGTATGGTAGAATCATGATAGTATGGTAGAATAGGACATTGATATAATTATCAAGTTATTCTATTCAATTGTGTTAGAAATGTCAAACAATGATGATACTACGAATACAGTGACAAATCAGTTAGTTACTAACAATGTAATCTCATATACCGGTAAATGTCAAAGAGAACAACAAACTGGACATTTAGGAAAATTTAAAATCTAATTTTTTTTTTGAGTTTCGTATTGATGTTATCTAGGATTACTACAAAGATTTTTCAGTCAAACTATTTAATTCATAAAAATTTAGATATCCATTTAAAACATTGAAAAATTGGTTGATACTAAATGAACTAATTTCTTAGTGTTACAAAAGTTGTATTAACAATTTCACCAGTCTATTATAACTAGTCTGTAGACTAGTGATTTGCTTGATTTACTAGACAGAACTATTCTCCAGAATTGTCTGCTGAAGACAAGTATTTTTTGATAGAACAGTGAGAAGACGTAATTGATCTGGAAAATGTGATGTATTTGCGCCATATATTTCGAACAATCTGGTGACCAGATTCTGTTCTGTTCTATCAAAATTTATTAAAGGAACTAGTTGTTTTGAAGAGCAGTATGCCTGAGAAGTAAATGAATATTTTGAAGGCTTTGTAAACAAATACCACAGGTAAGGCGATGGCACACAACTGCTTCACTTATTTTAGGAGTCTTATCAGTGCTAATCGCCTGGTGTCTGACGAAATTTTAGTACGGATACAGAAGGCTCGATTAGCTTTTGCCAATTTGCGTTGCTTATGGTGTGGGTGAGATATCCGTCTGTTAGCCAAAGGACGAGTCTACTGCGTAACAGTTCGCTACGTCCTACTCTATGGCGGTGAAACATAGCCGGTAACGGTAGATAACATTTTTAGGTTACTGGTTTTCGATCATAGGTGTCTTCGAAGCATTACTCGTTTATCTTGGGACTATCGAGTAAGTAATGTAGTTGTTAGGAAACGGGTACTAGGTAAGGATAGCAGATCAATAGATGAAGTAGTGAAACTTCATCAGTTGAGGTAGTTGGGATATGTGTTAAGAATGCTCAACCGCCGACTGCCTCGTCGAACTATGTTTCGCGGTGTAGGAGTAGGCTGGAAGAAAGCTAGTGAGAGCTAGACCAAAACGTGGCACAAATCCATGAACTCACTGACAAATGGATTGAGCCATGTTGGCAGATGTAGACTGCCTGATAGGGGTCCGCGAGATGATAGTAACCAGATGGTTAGGGAGCTTGAATGACATGGCTTAAAATCGTTTGCAATGGTGCTGGTGCATCCATACTTTGGCTTCTCTTAAATCCTACCCCTCTGGGCATTTCATCATCTTAACCTTTCTCTCTTTAAAGTTATTTTACTAGATTATATTTCTTGGATAATTTCTTCGGACCATTATCATCTTCATTAGCTCTAATATCTCCACTACATCTACCACAATGGGGTTTGAATTGACGATTGCGTTTCTGTGCTAATGTGACAACTCGAACTAATGTACGTACGTACGAAGTTGTACGATGTAGCTGGCTGTCTGATTGTCAAGCCACACAGTTTAAACACTTGATTATTTGTAAGGATGGGCACATAAATATTTGTACGCTACAAAAATCAATTAATTTGTGTATGGGCTAGAATAATGACCGGGTGTCCAAGCTGGAGCTGGCGGTTTCTCAAGAGACCATTCCCCGAGCCTTTAACCTACAGGTTTAATCCACATGGCAGTACAGCAATGTTAGGTGTAGTCCATGGTAGCCGGTGACTAATAATAAGTCTATACGCCACTTTTTCCAGGACCTTGGAGCCCATGTGCACCATTGGTTTGGAATAAGGGTTTTTTAACTCCTATAGGTAGATGCTCTGAGTCATCTTTGTCGAATTTTCGATGTTAGTCTGTTCGTAAAAGCTTGGGTTTCCAATACATTGGTGATAGCAGTTTTGCTTAAGGTATGTGAAACGTCAACTGGGGATGTTAGACGACTTTGCGTTTAGTCAATGAAAGATTTAGTGACACAGGATGGCTACACTATGTTAGTAATGCAGAATCTTGGAAATGTGTTTTGACACAGCGACGACATGCCAATTGGTGGCATCATCTAAAAACACCGACTCCAGTGGCTTGGGCATGTCCCACGACTGTAATTACAGTAAATTCTATATCACGCCTTATTTTCCGAAGCTACGACTGGGTGGAAAAAGCGTTCAGTGCAGTGGTATGAAAGAGAGCTGTGAAGGACTGATACATGTCAGTCTGTCGCAACTTCCTGGTTGAAGTCCTAAAAATACTGCAACAGATTGGTTTGAGGAGTTATCGGATATGGCTTAGAATAGAATCCAGTGGTAGTCATACAATAATTGGTTTTACCTAAATGAAGGATCATTTCGGATTGTATTTTTCTTAACGGGATAGCTTCCACTTTTGATTTTACTTCCATTCATTTATCCATGTGCATTTATTAACTTCGTTTTTTTAGGCTCACTTTCTCTCTCTTAACAATCTCATTTTCGTATTGCACAGTGAAAATTTATTCCGATGCCCTTCGGTATCAATATGTGTTTAAATAAATAAAATAGTTTGTTAATTATAATGGTAGGGTCACTAAACACCTTGAGATTGGAAATACATTTTTAACACAACATTTAACATAAAATATCTCAAATTCAAAATACCTTGATGAGTCCGATTGAGATGAATGTGAGGTTTGGCTAGAAGATGAAGAAGAATCTGAATCCGAATCTGAGGAAGATGAGTGACTACGACTATGTGATCTAGTTTTTACAGCTTCTTGTGAAGATGCAGGTTTTTGTTCATTTGATAACTCATCACCAGAATTGTCATTTTCTGCTCCCCAAATATCATACTTAGACAGGTCAACATCATCACCAGAATCTTCATTTTCACTATCATCACTTTTATTATTACCATTCTCATCCTCATCATCTTTATCACGATCTTGTGTAACAGAATTGTGGCCAAAATCGGATGAGTCATGGTTACTGGGTTGTTTGTTTTGATTATTTCGGAAACTTTTCTTTTTACGACCAAATTCATCAAACTCATCATCTGAATCTCTACGTTCTCTGTATTCTACTACCTCATCACGCTCCATAAAACCACCACCATAACCTGTTCTTTCGCCTTGTATGTCGATCTTCGAGCCGTTGCACACGTTGCAAGTACTTCGACGTGCCCAGTTGATATTACCACATCTACAGTGTTTAAATAAAAATACTATGAGAATACAAGACAACTCACAATTTATCTACTGATTAAAGAACTGTGCATCAAAGAATATGACATTCTGCACTTTATCTTCGAACGAGTTAGAAAGCTTTTGTAATAATTCGGAATGACAGAGATTCAAGCAAAACTACTTAAAACTAATACAACTTGTTAAACTACTGATGCGTAAAAGATACCCAGATAACGATGTGTTTATAATGAAAAGCATAGTTATAGCGAAAAAGGGAGAAGTGAAAAACCAGAGAACAAACTATGCCTTTTCACCTAATATATACAAGTTATACGAAAACTTGGCAAAAATATTTCACATACTAATCATGTTGTTTACCGGTGAAGTGAAGGCAGGACTGGCAACTACAGGTTTCAGAAGTGTCCTGGAAAAGTTGATGAATATGAGAGTTTGGGACCTTTTAGTCTAATAAAGCCTGAGTTTATTTTTGTAATTACAAAGTGATGAACTTGAGAACAATCAGGAGTTTTATCGAAAATCACTATCCAAAACCAAAAAGTGACATTGTAGTGTCGGAATACTAGACACCTCATTATCATAAGTATTCTGGGAGATATGACTAAGATTAGTTATTACTGTCGAATGCTGCCACATCCAATGACTTCTTTTAATCCACTGAAAAATGGGAAACAATTGAATGTCAATGAACATAGCACTGTATCGGTGTGGCATTAGGAGAGCTACGCACATAAGCAGTTTAGCAGACGAATTTCACCAAAAATCATGAACGGCATAAACTTAGTTCAAACTACTTGGATGGGGTCCTCCAGATGATAGTGATCGATGGTTGGAGACGTTGAATGACGTGGCTCAAAATCGTTCACAATGGCGCAGGTGCATTCATTCTTCGTGTTCTCTCAAATCCTAAACTCCTCATCACTTTATCTTTTTCATCTCAAGTTTATTTCACTAGATTCTACTTCTTGAATATCTTGGAACCCTAATCTCTCCGATTACTGCTAATAGCTTTGCCACCTCTACTACTATGGGATTTGAATCGACAATTGCATCTCTGTAATGGCAACTTGAACTGATTTACGTGCGAAGTTCTACGCTGCTATAAATTGATTGGAATTATGGGAATGAACTACTGAGACTACAGACACAGACCCCGTAATGCGATTCTTGCACTGTAACCAGTGTTAGTTAGTGGTGAAAACCATGAAATTGATTTATCTTGATGTTTAACTTTATTTTGAGACATGTAAGTAGTTAAAAGTACGTTAGGTAATTTCTGAAATGGACTACATTATACGCTGCACTTTGGCATCACTAAAAAAGAAAGGAAACACTGACTCATATTTATCAGGATCGAGAGGTCTTGAAGAAAAGCCCAGGAAATTTTTAAATGAAAAGGATGTCACACTAATTGTTATTTTAGACAAGGCAACATATGTAATATAACTCAGAAAGAGTAGCTACCAGGGTGAAGCTGTTGCGTGAACTACAGTACAAGGTTGTTTTTTAAATCATTAAAGATGTTCAGCGCGCACTTACGTCTTACATATCCAATCATCTGGACTGAAAAGACCTTTGCTTTTTTCAGCTAACTGTTTCCCGACCTCTAAACCAGCATTAACCGCCGCCCCAAATTTCCTAGGTTTGTCGCAACGATTGCATTTCTCTCTCTTAGCAAAATTCACATTTTTACATCTGAAAATGCATTTGGGAAGATCGGTAATCTTACTTTGGATCGCTACAAACCCAATCTTCTTTCGATGAGCGAGACATTTAGATGCAACGATACCGACTGTATTCCCGCAATTCACTGTCAGTAAGCTTAAACTAAATTATGTGTAAAAAAGCACATAATCTTAGTAAAAATTGAATTTTTGAATTTCCTGGGTCGTCTGTTGGAATTAAAACTAGAATGTCTCAAAATTTGCATCTGAAGCTTGTGAAACACTCGGAATAAACAGAAATTTCCACTACATTTTTTACTGATTTGAAAGCTTTGTTACAAACATTCCTGTTAACTACCCACTCTAAATGTGGTCAGAATGAGCAAGAATTCTGGTTCACTGAGAGCCTGAGCTGGTTAGTACTAGCTTGGATGAAGCTCACTAATATGATAATCAATGATAGAGGTGGCTATCATCAAGCATAGGCCTTCACACCACCATGGCAGTTGGTGTTTCTAGGCTACCTCGTCCGTCATACCTCACTACCACTAAGTATCCGTGTCTGATGGTTGTGAAATTCAGAAACCTAGAAGACCTAACTGCAAAGCTTGGTACAGCACGGAGAGTAATTGGACTAGTTACAGTCGATGATATTTGAGCCAACTTAGATAACGAGACCACCAGAGGGAGGCTAAGTAAGACGTTCATCAGTAGCGGTTGATCCCGATCAAAAACCCACTGTAAAATAAGCGACGATTACGGTCTCTATAACTGAATACATCATACAAACAAACAACCTGGGGTGGCCAGTTCTCACAAAGTTGGACAACCCTGTTTGATCAACTTGTTTAGTAATCGGATGACGAACTTTTCTGCAGAGCCGCACCCGCTAGAGAGACAAGCTATCAAGAACCTTTATAGCAACTTAAGAGGACTGAGGAGTAAAATAGGACAAACCAAAAATAAGTGTTATCAGGTGAATATTTCAAGGTGAGCTTTCAAAGCATGACACTTTCGATGAGCTATCGTACACAAAACAGGAGGTGGAATGACGATATATAGTAATATTCATTTAAAATCCGTAACACCGTACGGAACCCAACGAACCAACATGACAGAATCGTGCTGATATAGCTTCAGCACGAATTGCTTGAGATACTTTATTGGAGAGATTTACTGGACACTCAATTTAAGAAGGATGAACTGACTGACGTGATATTGCAAGTATTATTCCTGGGGTTTGATCAACCGTTTTTAGCTGAAGATTTCAACTCTCCATCCCTAAATCTGAATGAATAGTATACAACTCTCACATGGTAGTTTCAAAACTGACTTGTCACAAACTTTGAAAATTCCGAAGTGACTGAGCATGTGTGTGACTCCGCCGTATAATGTAGGGATGGAAAATCCTTAAACTTGGATTATTTACTAAATGATCAGCTCCTGGTCTAGGATATCTAGGTTAACATACCAGTACAAAGTAGTGACCATATAGCAGTCACGTTTAACATGATCACAATCGAAATAATTAAGCAGGGCAAAAACGTGACCCACCTTTGCTAGACAGGCGTCTTATATTCGCTGTATGCCCACGAGAATGCGGAAAATTAAGAGTAGATGATCGCTGGTAAACAGTGGGAAACGTCATCCAGAATGCTTCCCTAAACAATGTACTTCAAGCCTATCACATACTAGAAAAGGGAGAAACTTGGGTTAATCGAGGAGCTGAACGCTTACTACAGATAAGAATGAGAATCTGGTCCAAGTGAAAGGTCTTTCTAAGGGATTCCAACAGCAGGTTTTACTTGCCATTAAGAAGCAGAAGCAATGTCAAAGTTCGAGGCCGTAGGGGATACTTCCAGATGAAGCTACCTACCATAGTACAGACAAACCCAAAATATCTGTTTAGGTTGGTGACTGGTAGTGGTTTACTTTTACGAAGAAAACACAACTGCTGAAATATAGACATTTATTATTGTACTTAATTCTTACAATAATTGTTATATTATACACCTCTTGTTCATCTCTCGGGCGCCAAGCGTGTTCTTCCCGTTCTCCTGTTCGCAAGTCTGCTGCGTAGACGTTAACCGTTTGTACGCCCTCTTGCCTCAATATCACTTTGATATCAAGAGGCCAGTATCAAATGTAATTGTTCCTCTGGAATCTATTTCTTACTTGATTCTCTGAGTTCTTTGAGTAATATTTGCTCTCCCGCGAAGAATTATATCGTACGAACTGCTATAGACTAAAAGAAGACCAGCGAACCAGGTGCTTATGCACTCTAAGGTCTAAAGGGTAAAGATACTAAAAACTTAGAGTTAACTGAGATCTTTAACACCAACTTCGTTGATCAGTCGAATTAGGTACCTAGAAGATCAAAGTGCTACTCCAAACCCCTGGGTTATCTAGTGTGTTACGTCCACGTTTTGCTCCTTCCCGTTATTGAAGTACAGTATGTCGATTTATTTGCAACTCACGAACCCAAATTAACAACAGAACCAAACTCCAAAGTTAGGCACCAAAGTTTATTCGCGATTCACAAATAGTCGACCAAAATGTCGTTCTAACAACAATAATTATAATAACTACAAAAACCTTCAATTTTATAGATTCCTGGAGCAAAAACTCCTAATTAGCAAACCAAGACATCATCAATGTTGAACTTGGCTCCTCTGGATGCAAAGTCTGCTATGTTTTCCTTAGAAGGAACGAATCTCCATTGGTCCACCTTTGTAAGACTGTGGATAGTCGAAATCCGGTTTGCTATGAATGTTTTAAACTGGCTTTTCTCATTTCTAATATAGTGTAAGGCAATCATGGAATCCGTCCAAAACATAACTTCTGCAAACTTAATATCTAACTCGGACTGCAGCTGGTACGTCACACACACTGCTAACACTGCTGCCGTAAGTTCCAAGCGGGGCATAGTTTGAATCTTTAAGGGGGTTACTCTTGCCTTAGCCGTAATAAGACGAGAACATATTTCAGTGTCATGGATGTAAGAGCGGACGTATGCCACTGCCCCATATCCAGTTTCCGAGGCGTCACAGAAAATATGAAGTTCCAGGAGCGAGCGATCTGATTGTGGAAACAATACACAGAGTGGAAAACTAACGCTCTCAACCCTCTGAAATTCACTCACTTGGAATCTCTTCGTCCCATCCTAATCCTAATTTACTTAAACGTTGAAGTAACTGCTTCATAGGAAGTATGAATGGGGTTAACAATCATAAGGGGTCGTATAATGAAGCTACACTCGACAATATACCTCGCCTAATGAGATGGCATTTCGGTATGCGAACTTTAAATTCGAACGCATCAACCATAGTATTCCAAAATAATCCCAATGTGCGTTCCGTAGGAAGTCTCTCAAAGTCAATCTCTTTTACGGCTTCTGCTCTCTCTTCTGGATGAATTGATTCGAGAACCTGTAAACAGTTACTTATCCACTTGGTAAGTCTGAACCCACCTTTTCTGAGGAGTAAACCAAGGGCTTTTGCAAGCTCGATTGCATCCTGCACATTATCAATTGAAGTTAAATAGTCGTCGACATAAAAACTCTTATCTACAACTTCCTGGACATCTTTATTCAATTCCTTTCCGAATATATCTACCGTCTTCCTAAGAGCGAAATTAGCGCAAAAAGGAGAGGACACGGCTCCAAACGGATGAACTGTCAAACAGTATTCCTTAGCCTTTCGTCCTATATCACCGTCTTCCCACCACAATAGTCGAAACGCTCCCCTATCTCGTCTCGGGATCTTTACTTGAAGAAACATCTCCTCGATGTCAGCGGCTAATGCTACGTTGCATAATCTGAATCGTAGAAGTATACCAATTAAACTATTTACAGTATTTGGTCCTCTCAAAAGCTGATCATTAAGAGAACAACCTTGATAGACAGCTGCACAATCAAAAACAATTCTTAATTTTCCAGGCTTTTTAGGGTTGATAACAGGATGATGAGGAATATACCAACAAACAGCATCACGGTCGAATTCCTCCTTACTAGCTTCAATGATGTGGCATTTACTTAAATGTTTACTCATTAGAAGTTGATATTTCTCCACAAGACTATTATCCTTCATAAACCTCTTCCTTAAACACTCCAATCTACGTTCAGCTAGTTCCAAATTATTCGGTAGCCTTGGCTTGTCATACTTCCAGGGTAGACCAACTTGGGAATGGCCACCCTCCAGTCTAAAGGAACTATTAACTATTTCTAGAGCTCTTTTATCTTCGACAGAATATTCATTACGAAACCCATCTGCATCCTCGAACTCATGATTATATAATCTTTCTATATCTCGCAAAATATCTTTAGTAGAACAATGACACCACTGAACTTCATGTAAGGACCTCGAAGCTTCTTTAGGACCTAAAATCATCCAACCGAGATGAGTGCGCACACCAAACGGATGCTTCCTGTCTCCCAGGCGTTGTTCAAGGACCCAATGTGCATCTGGAGCATCACACCCTATCAATATTCCCACAAGATTACTTTGCAGCCTCGGTGGGGTTATATCCTTTAAATGTTTCCACCTTCTCAGCTGGAGTTCGGTTAAAAGTTCTGCATAATCGATCGGAAGTTTCTTGGTCGTATAGGCCTTGTTGATCTTTATAGAACCCCGCTTATCTAATGAAAATACCTCTAAATTTACTTCCAGACATTCACAAGTAGAAGTTCAATTCACAGTCGTCACCTTTATTGAAGTCTCCTTACCTTTGAGACCTAACCGATTAATTAACTCTCCGCATATAATAGAGGTATCTGAACCATTATCTAGAAGGGCGTATGTTTCCAGACATCCTTTGGGGCCATATAGTCTAACCGGAACGATACCCAAAAAAACCCTTGAGAATTTCCAATCCTTAGCAAAATTCACCACATGTTTGTTAGTAGCATCAATATGTAATGATGGATTATGCCAAATCTTACAATTATCAACGTCACACCTTATGTCCGAGTTACACGACTTGGCTATGTGACCCTTCCTTAAACACAGGTAACATAGACCACGCTTCCCCACTTCCTGTCTCCACTCTGTAACATTCATTTTTGATAACCTCATACAATCATTCTCATTGTGATCACCGAAACAAATTTCGCAACTTAAAGCCTTGAATGAGTTGCTTGGTTCCCGCTTAACTACATTAAAGCGTGATCTCCTGTCAACTTGGCCTCC